TATAAAAATTTTTTTTTTTTTTTTTTTTTAATTGACGTATATAACTCAAATAACTAAATTAGAAAATAAATTAGAACATTTAATTTTATACAATTGAGAAATTTTATAAATATGCTAAATAACCTTTTACTAATTCCAAACACCAAATCAATTATCACTTTGCACTTTCTTTTTTACTTACTGTTAAAACCCTAAAATAAATATTTCTTTAAAATAGTATTTTATAATTACTTGTATACATAACTATACACTTACTATACCTATTACTACGTAAAACAAAAAAGTATAATTATAATTAAAATATATTACATATATATTTATTGTATAAACCAAATAAAAATAATTATGCCATCTAATATATATTTATTTTCTATATGTAAAAAAGAAAAAGAGTATAAAGATATTTTATTGTTCAAAATTTTTAAATACTAACCTTAACATACTCGTAGAATGATTTTTATGCATGAATATTAAAATAAATTGTTATTTATAATCCATAAAAAAAAAAAATAATAATAATAATAGTAACAAATCATAAATTTTTCGTATTGTCAAAATATTAATGTTACATGCGCTCACATATTCAATTTAAGTTTATTAATTTCTAGTATATGATTATATGTATTATATCATTACATAATTATACATTAGATTGTGCACAATCAGAACTCTTTATACAATAAGGAATATAAAAATTATACACAATATGGTTTCGAGTTATTGCACTTATTAAAAACTGTTTTATATTTATTGGTAATAAAATTAATTAATTTATAATTCTACTTATGACCAATGATAATCTTTATATATGTAGACAAATTTAATAAAACAAATGTTTTTTCTTAGCTAAGTTAATTTCTAAAAGCAAACTTGAACCGCGTCTTATTAACTGATATGTTGTAAAGAAATAGCAAGTAACTAATGTAAACTAAGCAATCAAAAGTAATAGCTTGAACTATAGTATCAACAACTTAGTATGTTAATATAATATTATAAAGTGACAATCTCATTCATATGAATTCATTAATTTATTGACATTATAATATTGAATATAATATTGAATATACTTCATAAACTCAAAATATAAAGATAAAATGAAATAAAATTATTGATAAATATAGAATTATATTTAATTATAATTATATAATTATAATAGAATATATAATTGAATTATTAACACATTATTCAAAAAGCAATTAAAATCTACAAATGATACAACAATTCAAATTTCTAATACGTCTAAGTATTTATAAAATATTATTTTATAAAATATTTTTATATTTAGAGATATAAACATTATGCACTTCATATATATGTTTATAGAATTAATCTTACTGAATTGCATTTATATAATTTTAGCAATAATTGATTTCTTTGTGGATTTTATCATTTCTGTGTTTATTAAAAGATATTGATTTCGTATTAAATAATACAAATAAGGTTTATTTGTCCAATACATTATTTTATCCATATTGTTTATAACTACACTTATTTAGCCACTAATATTTAAATAATCGATCAACTGATTTAACATAAAATAATAACTTGCTACGTAGACTTCGTATTTATTAAAAGAAGAAAAGTAACTTACAAAGAACAATAATGTATTTACGATATTACGAATGGTTTTTTCATCTATTCGAACAATTCTTCAACTCTAACAATTCATTCTGATTTACGTTCTCTAATTTATATGTTTTAAATAATTATGAATGCTGATTCTAAGAATTTGACAGTACAGCATCGTGTAATAAGCATTACGCTACCATTTCAACTTGTGAATCATAGAATGATTTGTTTGAATGTTGAAATCTAAATAAGTCCAAGTAAAATCTCAACGAATGCGCGTTTAAACAAACATTAAAAGATAATTTTGTATTATTTATACTTCGGTCTTTAGGATTTAAAAAAACAATCAACATGAAAATAATATAAATGTATTTACTGATAGGTTTTGGATAATTTAAATTTGAATTTACACAATATTCGAAAAATCTTAGCATTATATGAAATGGAATAAAAATATTCATTAAAGTTAATTACATTTACAATGCCAATGTCATTATCAGCAATTTCTATTACGTGATTATTACTATTGGCCCGTTGATCATACATTATCTACTACTCAGGATAATATATATAAGTGCGATTTAAATAGGACGAACCCACAAGTACATGAATCCTGGCGAGATATTCAGCTATCAAGCAGTGTTCTGAAGTTAAAATATCGCGCCGAGAGATGAGTGTACCCGAGCATTTATAATTTCTTTGCATATTATTTTCATAAACATATTTTATAATGGCTACGATAAATGGAAACTCAGACTCTCCTGCTGATCTTACATTTTCTCCGATTATGGCTTCAACTGTGGCAAAGTTACACCACAGGCCTGCATAATAACAAATCTTATTGTAATTTGGGCATAATGATACTTAATGATAAAAAACATGATTTTCAAAATGTATTCATAAAAGTCTGTTATCTTTCTTACGGTATAAAATAAATAAAATTAAACTGAATTTGCAGATATTTACAAATCAGTCTGTTACAATGAAATTAAATATAAATTTGATTATTATTGCGAGAATCAAATTTTTATTAAAAATAATTATATATTAGATTACATTTAATTATATATAATTTACAAAAATTAAAATAAATTCTATAATCACAGTTGATATTTGTAATAATTTTTTTATTAGATAATTTCCTTCCTTTACATAATTCTAGTTTCAATAAAAAATTTGATATTATGAAACATCATATAACATTGGTAACGTACAGAATGTAAATACCAAATTGAAAACATTTAATTAAATAGTACTATTATTATTATTATGGTAGAGATGGGATTATGGAATGAAAATATTATTCTAAAATCAAGTATAATAAATATAGATCCTTAGAATATTATATTGAATTGAATATATTTTACAACATGTGCAAATTAATCATTAATTTAACATATCTCTCGTTGATCAGAAATAAAATCATAATAATTAGTAACATGTAAATGAAGATTCACTTCTTCCAAACGAATATTCCTTGTTGAATATGGTGCTCTAGCAACATTAACTCCGACAATTAAATTCATATGTAAAAGTGGACCACCACTGTCTCCCTAAAACAAAATTATGAAAGTACACATATACATTTATTTATACGAGCATACGAAGGCGTACGACACTCGCTAAAAATTAAAGCAATTACAAAGCAAAATATCAATTCGACCGGTGTGTCTCTTATTACGTCTGCGGCTTGATTACAATTATTAAGCGACGTGATAATCGACATGACACGACCATCTTCTCCCTTCATCAACAAAACCCCCAATCTCATTGACATTTATATTCTAATTTTGTATACCAAAATTCTACCAAAGCTACATAATATATAATTGGAATATAAAACATAAAACATGTATTACTAATACATTGTCCCGATAATGAACTAATATTAAATTATTTCGTACACTACTAAACTTCAAAGTAACAGCAATAAGCGTTAATTAATAGCTAATTAAAATAAACATATGTAGACCGAACAATATATATTCATATATAAACAATGCATAATAAGAAAATAGTACCAGCAATTGATTTTACAACATTCTTGGAAAATTTCATTTAATAAATGCAGACACTAAAATAAATATTGAAATAATTAGTGACACTTGTAAGACAAAAAAAATTATTCACCCAATGTAATAATTCATAATTGCCGATATGTATTTTTTTTTCTTTTTTTGTTATTATTCTACAATTTACAAAAGATATATTTTAGCCAACGACATTGATGAATTATTCAATATGGATTTATCGTTGTAGAATAGTGTTTCTCTATTGCTCAATAAACGTTTACTTGTTTAGTTAAACAATATTATACACAATATAGGAAGAACTGACTGATGATAACAACTTTTGTACATTATTCTAGCACCTGTTTTATATATTTTAATTCTAAAATACGCTAAATTACTAATTCTAAAATACTAATACTAAAATAATTCTAAGAATAATTTCGTTTACGTAGCAATTATTGATATTTCACAGGCCCAGACCATATACATTAGTTATAAATAAACGTTTTCATGTTGCAGTATCGGGAGAGACGATTTGCACGTTCGCTGCGACTATGTTATTTACTTAAAAAGAAAAAACGCCTTTTTTCGTTACCTTATGAAGTGAGAAAACATTACTTACATCCGTCAATACTATCTGTGGATTGGAGATGGTACAAAGTGTTCTGTTGTTTATAGTAACTTGTCGCTTTGCGATTCTCGAAGCCCTAAGTTCACAGATTGTTGTTGTTGTAATAGTCATTTCAGCTGTTTGTAAAATATTACAATGTATGCTGCTCCATCCTGCGGTTTGAACTTGTAATCCATATAAACTTTCTATCGGACTAATAAAAATGTGTGCCGGTTCGATTGTACGTGGTACACGCTGAAGTAACTACAAAATTATTATTATTATTATTTTTTTTATTATATATTCGTTAAATTCAATTACCATCATTTAAAAGAACAACATTTAAATAATATAAATGTAGTTACTGTTAGGCGTTGTGAAATTTAAATTAGGATTTATATAATATTCGAAATATCTTAACATTATATGAAATAGAATAAAAATATACATTAAAGTTAATTACATTTACAATGCCAATGTCATTATCAGCAATTTCTATTACGTGATTATTACTATTGGCCCACTGATCATACGTTATCCACCATTCAGGATAATATTTATAAGTCTGATCTATGTTACTAGATCCAGCTAGTACATAAATACCAGTAAGATGTTGAGCTGTCAAACAGTGTTCTGCAGTTAAAATATCTTTTCTAGAAATAAGTGTCCCAGCACATATATAATTTCTTCGCATATTATTTTCTAAAACATATCTCATAATGGCTACGATAAATGGAAACTCGGACTCTCCAGCTAATCTTACATTTTCTCCGATTAAGGCCTCAACTGTGGCAAAGTTACACCACATGCCTGCATAATAAAAAAATTTTATTTCAATTTAATTATAATAATTCTGAATCTCGTCAGAGTAATCAATTACTAATTATGAATAATATTTAAGGTATATTATAATGGTAATTCTTTAAATGAAATTTAATAATAAAATATTTGCTTACAAAATATTCCATAAAAGCCAAAAAGATGATAAATCTGAAGCTCCATACTACAATTAACGACATTAAATTTCATAAAATATTATGAATCATATAATATATGTTTTAAAATAGAAAGTAAATTATATTGTTATTTAATATGATAATTAGATGAAGTAATTATTTAATCAAAGAACTACTTCACACTATGTGATTAAAATACCTTATAAGTATAGTAAAAAAATGTTTTTATAACTTATATTTTGCGTTCTAAAACTATTTTTTTCATTAACCTATCTATAATAACAAATAAAAAATTAATCACCGACATAGAAACCTAATGATTTATACACACACTTACACAAAGACATATAAAAAAAAAATATATATATATATATATATATAATTTTTAAAAAATCTTAATATTACTATAAATAATATTTTATGTGCTTATTGAGCTAAGTAGAAAATTCTAAGAAATAATGTTTATTTTTTTATTATCTGAGTCCTTAAACTATTCCCATTAAAATATTAATAGATAAGTACTGTTTCTTTTAAGAATTATTAGTAAATTATTATATATTTCTAAAATATAATAAAGACAATTCTTACATTATATAAATATTTATAAGGTTTAGAAATATTATAAAAAATAGACTCTCGAAGTTAAGTTCAATTTCATAAAATTTTTAAAACTTTTGAAAGTTCTTATAATATATATATATATATATATATTTATCATTTATTTTAAAAAATGAAATATTTTATATTGTAAGCTAACGAATGAATAAAAATAATATTTTTATTTATACTATTCAATCTTAATAATACCATATTTGACAAATATTATATTGAAACTATATTAGCTCTGTATTAATATTCAGTATTAATTACAGTAAAACAATATGTTAAGATAACGATTCATTTTTAGAATATGATAAATATGATATATATTGTGAGTAAAAAGAGCTAAAACCAGAAAATTTTTATAAATTTAAAAATTATTCATTAATTATATGTTTTATAAAAAATGATATTTTATAGGAGACCCTTTTTGCACTTACAGATACCTTGAAATAATATAAATTATGAGCATTAATATCAGGTTGGATATTATCATTTAATATAAAACTATTTCCTTAAAATTATGCATATAAATTAGGAATCAAATAATAGTCTTTGAGGAGTAATACAGGCGTACATGGAAAATAAAATAACAATTTATATGTTAATTCAATTGACCTACATTGTTATCACAATGGGAAGGAGGGGCGGGGAGATAAAAATGTGTTTTTTCTTAAATAATTTGAAAATGATTATTTTTTCGTTTGCCATATGCGACATTTTTCTTAATCACTTTATCAAACAGTCGAAGTCAGTCTCAAAGCACAGATATACAAACATACACATATCCATGAAAGCAAGCAATGGCATATCATATTTTGATTGTTCTGTTATAAAAATTATCCATATATATAGTATTTAAATTTAACCAGAAATTTTTTAAAATGTATATTTCTTGAAAATCGCAAAGTTTTTCTTTGTAGCTACATTATATTGTTACAATTCCCGACTCCGCTAATTTCTTAATATACGTTGTACCGATAAATCAATAACACAAAAATAAAAAATTTTCAAATGAAATTATCATTTATGCCACAGAAAAATAAAAAATATAATTAATATCACTGGTAGTTCAATAAAGTTTAGTGCCACAGAATCTAATAGTTAAAACGCAATATTTGTTATTTACAATTCAATGAGTACATATAATATTATAGTCGTTGATAGCTATATGATGATTATTATAATATATAAACAATAAATCCAATGAACCCTATTAATACTCAACTCACACTAAACGTAAATTATTGCCAAATTCATGTGATATTATTTGAAATATGATTGATAAAAAATAGAATTTTCAATGTCATTCATATAATTATACAGCGATAAAAGTTTAATGCTTATTTGAAACATTTCCTTATAATAAATAATATCAAATTATATTACTTTCGGATATTATATTTGTAACAAATTTGATTGTAACGGTATTTTATCTTTTTCAAATAATGACTTACAATCGTTAAAATGAGAATAAAATCATTAAACAAATTTGAAAAAGTGAAGTATTTCATATATTTTAATAATTTATAAATAGAAAATTTCCGTTGTTCAAACAAATTAATTTTCAATAAAAGAAATTATATTTAAAAAAAGGTTTGTTTTAAACACTACGCGTAACATATTTTAATAGATTTTATTAGAATTAGTTAACTAATACTGTATTGTATTTTTGAATATAATGTAGCCTATGACGGTATTTAATTCCTCGTACTTTATCATTTTACATATGTTCCTTATAATTTATAAACTGAATATTATAATGAAGGATAGCTCGGTAATACAATTTCAATTAACTATAAGTGACTGTACAAAATATGCTTCTCAATACCAACAAAAATAAAAAGAAAATGACAATACAATGAAACATAAAAAAACAAACAGATACTTTTCTGGAAATAAATTATAATTTGTTATGTTTATTAACAAATTTATATTTCATTTATAAATGTTCTCGTGTATCAGATATAAAGTCGTAATAATAAGCAACATGCAAAAAAATATTTACTTCTTCTGAATTAAAGTCATTACTGAGTAATGGAGATACTCCATGATTAACTCCGACAATTAAATTCATATGTAAAAGTGGACCACCACTGTCTCCCTAAAACAAAATTATGAAAGTACACATATACATTTATTTATACGAGCATACGAAGGCGTACGACACTCGCTAAAAATTAAAGCAATTACAAAGCAAAATATCAATTCGACCGGTGTGTCTCTTATTACGTCTGCGGCTTGATTACAATTATTAAGCGACGTGATAATCGACATGACACGACCATCTTCTCCCTTCATCAACAAAACCCCCAATCTCATTGACATTTATATTCTAATTTTGTATACCAAAATTCTACCAAAGCTACATAATATATAATTGGAATATAAAACATAAAACATGTATTACTAATACATTGTCCCGATAATGAACTAATATTAAATTATTTCGTACACTACTAAACTTCAAAGTAACAGCAATAAGCGTTAATTAATAGCTAATTAAAATAAACATATGTAGACCGAACAATATATATTCATATATAAACAATGCATAATAAGAAAATAGTACCAGCAATTGATTTTACAACATTCTTGGAAAATTTCATTTAATAAATGCAGACACTAAAATAAATATTGAAATAATTAGTGACACTTGTAAGACAAAAAAAATTATTCACCCAATGTAATAATTCATAATTGCCGATATGTATTTTTTTTTCTTTTTTTGTTATTATTCTACAATTTACAAAAGATATATTTTAGCCAACGACATTGATGAATTATTCAATATGGATTTATCGTTGTAGAATAGTGTTTCTCTATTGCTCAATAAACGTTTACTTGTTTAGTTAAACAATATTATACACAATATAGGAAGAACTGACTGATGATAACAACTTTTGTACATTATTCTAGCACCTGTTTTATATATTTTAATTCTAAAATACGCTAAATTACTAATTCTAAAATACTAATACTAAAATAATTCTAAGAATAATTTCGTTTACGTAGCAATTATTGATATTTCACAGGCCCAGACCATATACATTAGTTATAAATAAACGTTTTCATGTTGCAGTATCGGGAGAGACGATTTGCACGTTCGCTGCGACTATGTTATTTACTTAAAAAGAAAAAACGCCTTTTTTCGTTACCTTATGAAGTGAGAAAATATTACTTACATTAGTCAGTAAAACATATGGATTTGAGATACTACAAATAGTCCTTTCGTCCATAACAAGATTTTGTCCAGCAATCCTCGAAGCTCTAAGTTCACAAATTTCTTTTTTTGTAGCAGTCACGGTAGCCGTTTGAAGAATGTTTGGACTCTCGCGGTTCCGTATATAACCCCATCCTGATACTTGAACTTCTGCTCCATATAAAGAGGTTATCGTACAGATTGCAATATGTGCTGGTTGAAGTGAATCTGGAACGTGTTCAAGCAACTAAACCATGTTTAATTATTTAGCGTTCGCGATTTTGAAATTGATTTTCAGTCTAATATTATTAATTTAAATGATGAGATACCTTGACTACTGTAACAGTTGGTTACATTTATTATTAAATAAAACAAAAATTTCACTTCAAATAATTACATTTAAAATGCCGATGTCATTAGTAGGAAATTCTAAATCACGGAAACTGTAAACGGCCCACTGATCATATGTTGTCCACCATAAAGGATAATGCCTAACAGTGCGATTTAAATAGGACGATCCGACAAGTACATGAATCCTGGCAAGGTATTCAGATGTCAAACAGTGTTCTGAAGTTAAAACATCTTTTCTAGAGATGAGTGTACCGGCGCATTTAATTATTGTAAATACATTATTTTCATAAACAGTTTTTTTAATGGCTACGATAAATGGAAACTCGGACTCGCCTGCTGATCTTACATTTTCTCCGATTAAGGCTTCAACTGTGGCAAAGTTACACCACATACCTGCAAAATAATGAAATCTTATTCGAATTTATATCACATTCATTTAAATACACATCATGCTATTCCATAATTATTAATTATTATAATTTAAATGGAATATGTAAATTGGAATGACAATAAACTATAACTCACATAGGAATCCATAAAAGCCGAAAATAAAATGAATTTGAAGCCGCATACTAAAGATATGAGGGAAGATCAAACTTGATAAAATATGGATTATAATACAACGTATACAACGACAATATGAATTTAAATAGTTTCTTATATACTTTAGCTATACTTTTACTATACTTTTCATATATAGTTTAAGGAATATTAAATCATATAAATTTAATGTATTTAACATTAATCTTTTACAATTAATTTTACAAGAAGGAATTGTACCCATTTAAATTTTTGGTTATCCCAACTGATATATCCTAAAACATAAAATAAATATTTCTTTTCAATATTATTTGTTACTCTTTCTTCTCTCATATTAATATAAATTCATAAGAATTATATTGAAAGTAATAATGTTACATATAAAAATATATATTTATAATTAATCACATAAATTAAAACTCAACTATATATTAACTATATAAGCTTTATCTATTAAATATTTAGTCAATAAATTATAAATATAATTTACAACCAATTAGATAGAATATTAAATATTATCATTCTATAAGAATGTAAATATTAAATAGAATAACCTTCTTTAATTATTAAAAATTATTACATATCAACTTTATATTATTTGCAGATTAAATTATTTGTAATACTCGTAAAATTTTAATTATTGGACTTAACCTTTTAAATATAATAAAGATAATGTTTAATGCTTACAAATATTTTATTTTTAAAAATACATATTATCTATTGTGTTCCATTAAGTTTCATTTTGTATTTCTCTAAAGTTTATTTTTACAAATTCATATACGTTTTCTAAATTCATATATATATTTATTTATTTATTTATTTATTTATTTATTTATATATATTTATAATAATTTTTGTGAAGTAGAAAAACATATTACTTAAAAAATAATTTGCGCTTTAATTTGGAAAATCGAAAATTGTATTTCGAAAATCTGAGAATTAACATTATTATTAGCTTTTCATTATAATTACATATTATTCTAAAGAAATATCTTGTACTAGATTAATGTGTCTGTTGATTTATTATATTTAAACACAATTATATCATTTTAAATTTACATTTAAAACATAAAAAAATTCGTACATTTTCATTGAATATATTAATCTCTGTTAATTTTAAGTAAAAATTTATACCCTAACAAATATCCGAGGAGGGCAATAATAATTTAAAAATTGTTTAAATATTAACAAATTTTACATTTATGATTATTTGTATGATTTAGATGTAAATAAACATTCATTATATCTGAAAATAATTGAATAAAAAAAAAAATGTATATCTTATAAAATATTATCATAGTGCAATATTTTTTTATACAAGTAATTTTCATTTTGTTATTATCTCGACTTAACATCTCAAAAATACGTATAAAAAATTTATAAAGAATCATTCAATTTACTTACCGTTATGGCGTTATTTTTATTGATATATAAATACATTACATGCAATGCACAAATTTTTAAATGAACAATTACTTTTTAAAAAATTAGGTCACGTAATCCATATAAGTGTTTGATTATTTCTTATAATTATATTCTGATGTATTTCTATAATAATGAAAGATTTCATTTTATTAAAATGTAGTAAAAATTTTATAATCCAATGTAACCTTAAAGCTTAATTGCTTATTATTTCAATAATAGGACTATAAAAGTAATAAGAATTATGAAAAAAAAAATATAAAAATATAAAAATTAATTATTATAATTAAATAACTAATTATACAATCAATTTTTAATAAAAATGAAAGACTTCTCAGTTTTTTTAAGTTTTTTATTCTTGTATGCCATATGGAAGTTAAGGCATTATTTAAACTAACTTCGTAGATCCGAAATAAAATCATAATAATAGGAAAGATGTATATGAACGTTCACTGCTTCTTGATTAAACTGTTGTACATTTGGAGCCGTACCGAAATTGACACCAATAACCAAATTTCTAAAAATAAGTGGAGCACCACTATCACCCTAAAACAAAATTATAAATGAATACAAAAATCTGGATTTGTTAATACAAACGTAACAGGCGAATGAGACTTCGTATAGAATTTAACAACAGTGCCGAATGAAATTTAATCATAAATTACGTCAAATACTTTCAATAAATATTTCATATCATTTATTTCCTACAATAATTAAAAATAATACTATTATAATTGTACACTTGATAATAAAATAATATTCAGTGCTATAATACAAAATATAAATATAATATGAAGTATACGACTATAGAGAGGGCAAAAATATTATGAAAATAATTTCATTTAGGTAGCAATTATTGATATTTTACAAGCCCTGATTGTATCAATTTATTATAAATATGTTTTCATGTCACCTTATGAAGTGAGATAATGTAACTTACGCAACTCAATAATACATATGGATATGAAATGGTACAAATAGTCCTTCCGTCCGTAAAAAGACTTTCGCCAGCGATCCTCGAAGCCCTAAGATCGCAGTTATGATTTGTTAAAACATTTAGTCTTGCTGTCTGCAAAACATTTGGTATTATATTATTAGATGCCGCACCCCATCCTGCAGTTTGAACTTGCAAACCATATAAAGATTGTAGCGGAGCAATAAAAATATGCGCGGAATTAATTCCATCTGGTACTCGCCGAAGTAACTAAAACATATTATTAATTATTCAAATATTATTAACCGTTTATTGTACTGAATTTCAAAATTACTATAAAAAATATAAATTTATTTATATACAAACATTATGAAATTAAGTAAAAAAATTTTTAGAATATTAAGAATTCCTTTACATTATTATCAAATAAAATAAAAATTTCACTACAAATAATTACATTTAAAATGCCGATGTCATTACTAGGAAATTCTAAATCACGGAAACTGTAAACGGCCCACTGATCATATGTTGTCCACCATAAAGGATAATGCCTAACAGTGCGATTTAAATAGGACGATCCGACAAGTACATTAATCCTGGCGAGACGTTCAGCTGTCAAGCAGTGTTCTGAAGTTAAAACATCGCGCCGAGAGATGAGTGTACCCGAGCATTTATAATTTCTTTGCATATTATTTTCATAAATAGTTTTTATAATGGCTACGATAAATGGAAACTCGGACTCTCCTGCTGATCTTACATTTTCTCCGATTAAGGCTTCAACTGTGGCAAAGTTACACCACATACCTGCAAAATAATGAAATCTTATTCGAATTTATATCACATTAATTTATAACGCACATCATGGTAATCATTCACTATTAATTATTGTAATTTAATGAATATTATAATAATAATTCTTTATATGCGATTTTATAATAAAGTGTTACTTACAGAATATTCCATAAAAGCCCGAAAGTAGGTAAATCACAAATCGCATAGTAAAATTATCGACTTTAAATTTAATAAAATATAGAATAGCCTATAATATATATTTTTAATTATTGGCACAATATATTATTACTTTTATTTTAATCAATGAAGTGATTAAATTATTTAATGTACGGCTTACGAATTCTTACGAATTAAAAGAAGTTTTTATATAGTACATATTTGATAATTTACAGTAAGTTTTTCATTCGTTGCATTAAATTTATATATTTTATTATAAATCATATTAATTCCTATTAATTCAGTTAGAAATACAGATGTTAAATAATTTTACAATTTCATAAACTAATGATTAAGTTTAATACAGTAATTTTCAGTTATTCAATGTAACTTTACTTTGCTACTATCTATTAATTATATTTAAAAATTGCAATTTTAAACCATAAAATGAAATCTGAACTATTATATCTGCTATTCTCTATTTAAAAAAAATCAAATTCACTTTTATAAAATTTATCATACTCTTATATTATTTTAAAATTATTTAAAATATTAAATTTAAAAATTACTCTTTAGAAAATATCTGTTCCTGTAACCAATTGTATTAATATTTCTTAGAAAATTGTAGCAATTCTCATAATTCTAACGGTTAAATTACGTAAAGGGCTTCTAATTTCTTAACTATTATTGTTTTCATTTTAATAGTAGAACCTTTATATTTTTCTTGCAACGTTTTAATCGATTTTTATAAATTAAAATAATTATATTGCGTATGATATATATCACATCCTGTTACAGAGGAAACATTGAGAGATCAATTTTCCTTTGATCGGATACTTTCAACAAAAATAATTAAATTTTAATTTATAAATTTTTATAACTAAATTAATAAATGGTTTGTGACGATATTCTATAATTGTCTATTTATATACTTAATAATGCTTACTAAATTGTTCTTGCGATTTTTAAAAATATTTCTACTGTTTTCACTAAATTTAACCATTAACAAAAAGTATTATATAAAATGAAATTAAAGTACGATAATTTGTAATCATATTGAATAAAATAAAAAGATCTGTATAGCAACATATTTCGAGTAAAAGAAATCTATGCGTAAGTGTATTTGTATATATGTGTTTATACGTTCATACATTTATTGGTTTTTAAAAATATATAAATACTATTTATATTCTTGAATATTACTTAATCCTAACCGACTAGACCAAAAAAATATAATATATTCCGCTCGTTGACGAAACTCTCAAAGAAAGAAGATACTAAAAATCACAGAAAATAATCTCAATATGATAATATCACAATTTAATTGTAAAATTAAATGATATACTTATCAATAAATAACCTTCTAAATGTTTTCAACTAACAAAATAAATAAAAAAATATTTTTGCAATATATTTAATTATATGTATTACAATAAAATGTTTTAAAAAGCATTATTTTAATTTAAGTTAAGTTTAGTTTAAATATTAAACATACAATTTTGTCATATATATATATATATATATATGTTGTCATATATATGTATGTATCTTTGTCATATATATATATATATATATATAACATATGCAAATAATATTTAAAAATAACTATATATAATCTTAGATGTTCAACGTCAATATGTTATCAAGTATTAATCTAATATAGTTGTTTACGAACTGTAACTATAATTTGTAAAGTAATTTCTGAATATAACCAGCATAAATATTTTAAATTAATAAAGATAAGTTTTATAATTTATAAATGTTTAAAATTACAAGAAATTTAAATATACTACGTAAATTGAACTTTATTGGATAATTTTAAATATTTTAAATTAATAATGATAATTTTTATAATTTATAAATACTTAAAATTATAAGAAATTTAAGTACTACATAAATTTAACTTCGTTTGATAAGTTTTAAAACGTTTTAAAGTACACGTATATTAGTACATATATATATTTTTTTTTTTTTTTTTTTTTTTTTTTTTTTTTTTACCAAATATAATATGAATTAATTATATTTTCTTTATATTGGCCAATAATATAAAATAAAATACAACAATGAATATTATATATTAACAGAATTACGTTGAATAAATATGATTTTAAAACTGAATATGAATATTCTTCGTAGCTATTTAAATGAATTAAAAATTATTCATAATGAGGTGTTAAAATATGAAAGATTAAAGGGTAAAATATAAGAATAGAATAATCTTGAAATTCGATAAATTATTGTAGACAAAAAGAATCTTTTCTTAATTTTAGAGACATGTAATTAACAAAAGAAAGAGATTTAAACTCTTTGTAAACAAAGCACAGCACCTACAATATAAAATTCAATTAAATGATAATCAAATATGAATTCTCTGACATATTTACAACGAATAATCTTTGTAATTATTAAAAAAAAAAAAAATTGGTAAATAATCTTAATATTTTTGAAACTCGGCGACGATATTTTTAAGCATAATAAAATAAGAAATAACATTGCTGGGTAAAACTGAACAATATTAATACTTAAGATGGATTGTTATCAAAAATATTGCTATTACAAATCATACAAACTTGCACCAATATTTACGAAGAAATGGGATTAAAAATTAAAAAAAATATATATAAAATGGAATATAGAATAAAATATTATCATATAAAAGTATATGTGAAGTGAAAGTTCATAGAAAAATATTTAATATGTGCTTGGATAAATATTATTTAGAAAATCAAGTTCAGCAACATTAACTGAATAAGTTAGTAGATAAATTGAAAGATTTGTTGTTAAAGGAAAAGTTGGTTTAATGATAATCTCGCCCATATTTATAACAGTTACCTATTACTTTAAAAAGTAACAATTTTTTTCTATATTATCCAAGCTTGGCCATATGATACCTGATCGATTATATATTTGTAAATCCAAAATAAATTTACTAAAATTAATAATTTTTCGTCTCATACTTATTAAAATTGTTATAAAAAATATAAATCAAATATCTGCGCAGTTTAAGATTATATATTGGATTCATTTTATTAAAATTTATTTATTTAACCGGTAACGACGAAAAAAGGAACGAAAGGAAGTTGTTTGTATTTTCCAAACAATACTTTAGTATTCAATAACATTTTATTTATAGATAAATGGAGCCACACTTATTTCTAAAATTTCTTGAATCACTTATTTATTCAATGGATTATATAATTTATTATGTTGATAATACCTAGAATAATAGGGATTCGTTAAGTAAGATTTTTCGAAAAATATTTACACTTAAAGCTTTTGAATTGTTACATTGGTTATCTAAAATTGAAAAGTTTTAAGTGATTTTTAATACAACTTTTACGAAGAAAAAATAGTACATTTACTTTTTCAAAAATTATATATTAACATGAAAAAAAAAACATTGGTTACCGTATACTACAAGTGACATTAAAAAAGAATAAATGTAAAATTTAACTGAATTGAAAAAAAATTCTACTGTATAATATGCAAAATCTTATCAATGCATTATCATTTAAATCACATTTGAAAAGTCTTCAGATTAAAAATTGTTTTTAAAAAAAATATTTTATGACTTATCTATAAATTAAATTTTGACTTTCTAAGGATAGCAATTTTCTAGGATTAACAAAGTACAATAATTGTTATGGTACGTTTTTTTTTTATTTTTTAACAGAAAAACAGTTTAATATATTTAAACAAATTGTTTAAAAATGTATAAAACAAAAATTTTGATATATAATGAATTTCTCAAATCCATTACGATAATATAACATGGACGATGAAAATGAATATTACAATATATTCAATTAATAAATTTTAACTCTTTTCCAACATTCTGAACTAAATAAATTTAGAGAGCTTATGATATTATGCTTGAATTCATTTTTTGTTTAATAAAGTCGAAAATATAATAACAATTGTTTACTTACTCTCTTGAAGAGATAAATATGTAAAAACTCGAAAAAAAATGTTTGCATTACAAGTCTGAATCTTTTTTTTTCTTTATTTATTTTTTTTTAATTTTTTTTTTTTTTTTAATCCATTTAAATAATAACTATAAATTTCAAAATTTAATTTTGAGGTAATTAATATCACGATAGTGGAATCTTACCCAAAATAATAAAAAATAACCACACCTGTAATCACAAATTATAGATATGTGGGATGCTTGATAACATAAAAACAAATACTTCATATATTTTTAGTATCCAATTTTGGAAGATAATAATTAAGATAAATTATAATAAAAAAAAATCACAATTTAATTGAAATTATTTAAATAATATTGACACTTGATTCTAATGTAGAACAAATTATAATACATGTTATTTAATCATTACAATTATTTATATTTACATTTATATTTACATTTATTTTTTTAGTTTTTATATTTACATTTATCACTTTATACCTAATACTTTATTTGATATACTAAACATTCTTTATAAATTTCATAAAACGTTTATAAACTGACACCACAAAATAAATATTTATTTTATTCGGGTGAAAATAATTATTTGGGAATGGACATGTTCCTGAAGTAATCCCAACAATAGCACCTTGATAAAACAGCGGACTACCACTATCTCCCTAAAAAAAACAACAACAACAACGATATTTAAATAAATCTCCATATATAATTAATTAGAATTATATAGATATAGATTTATATAAATTTTATAAATAAAGTAAATGAGCATTGAAAAGTATATGATCTACATAAAATAGAAGAAAAATGACCAAAAGATAGATCACTATAAGGATCATTATAAATTAATTTCAGAAAATTAAATTTACTACTCTAAGTATAATTTTTATATCTACTTAATGCTAAATATATTAATTTTTAATATTTTTCTGTTTTTCAAAAATCATGAATTTAATTTTCAATCTATAATCAATAAAATTAATAAAAAAAAAAAAAAAAAAAAAAAAAAAAAAAAAAAAAAAAAAATAGATAAAAAAACTGTATGCAAATTTTGGAAAAACTTTGTTTTCATTATACTTTTAATGATCACATAGAAAAAAATTATCAGCTTTTGAAAATAATGCATCATAAGCTGTGCCGCATCAATATTTACGAATATTTATTTCAACCAAAAGATGTTATATTAAAAACTAATGAAAAGCTTCTCATAAAATTGAATTATTGATAATTAATTTTATAGTACATATACAACAACTTTTGCAATAATAAAATTATAAGTTAATTAAGATTATTAAAAAATGAGATTATATAGATTTATGTGATCAAGATTAAACATTTAAAAATAAAAAATTGACGAATGAAAATTGTCCTAATACCGTTATAGTTGAAGATTTTTTTTTAAAGAACATTTTTTCTCTATAAATTTTATACTTTAATAAATACTTAATAATTTACATAAATATACATAATATCAAAAATACTTATTTTTTTTTGCAATTCACCAACTTTACTTAATATAATAATAACTCCACGTAATATCTGTCAATACGTTCATATAGAAAATAATTTTAGTCTTTATTTTAACAAACTTTTTTAAACGATTCCAATATGTAATTAATATTATTTATGAACGTACGTTATTACATTTACCATAAATTCACAATATATACACAAATGTATTTTCTAGTTAGTAATTAAATATTTTCTATTCGTAATAAAAATGTTAAAATATGTATGAGAGGGAATAAAATTTATGGATTTATGGAAATCTATGTGTGTGTGTATATATATATATATATATATATATATATATATATATATGGAAAATGTAACAACTGATATAACTTACTTCATGCACCAATACATAAGGATCTGCGATTGTACACAATTGTCTTTTTTCGATAGGAATAGTTTCTGAAGCAAGCGCGCTTAATAACTGTGAGCATTCGTATCTATTTAAAACATTCACTGACGCCGTTTGCAATTCTAAAGCAATCGAACCATTATTCATTGTACCCCATCCAACGGCATCAACTTGTAAACCAATTAACTGATCCGGTGATACGGACGAAATAGTTGCGATAGGAATTGCATTTCCTACTTTGGTAGTCAACTAAAGAAAAAATTCGGCTTAAGTTTATAAGTAAAGAATATTATCAAAATGCATATGGATTAATCTTTTTTATGTGTATAATTATATAAATGTCATTAAAAATTATAATTGAAAGATCTCATTTTAACCGGAGTCAAAAATTAAAATTCATTTTTCTTTTATTTAAAAATCATTTAAATTGTTTTATTATACCCTTATAATAGCAATATCATTCCAAACATGTTTAATAGGTTTATTTATTTGCGTGCACCATTGATCGTAAGTGATCCACCAAGACGGATAAAATCGTGAGGCTTGGAAGATATTATTTGATCCAGCAGTTATTATAATACCACTTATTGATTCATTTATTATACAATGTTCAGATGTTAGAACGTCTTGTTTAGAAATAAGTACTCCACCACATACGACATCTCTGTTTAGAACAATGTTTGAGTTTCGATTTCTCAGTATGGTTACGACAGAAGGGAATTCGTTGGGATTTGCTAATCTAATGTTATGTCCCAACATGGCTTTTGCATTTGCTAAATTGTATTGATTATCTAAAGTGCAATATTCTTATTTTAATAATTTCAAATTATATATATATATATATACATCATTATTTTCTTTATTGATTTTTCATTTTTAAAAAATTGATAATACGATACTTACAAAGGAACATGCATTGACCAAGAAAAATATATATTTGGAACTGCATAATAAAACTATTAATAGTAGCGAACATTTTATTGTAAAAATCCTAAAAATATATATATATATATATATATATATGTACATTAATTAATCATTGAAAGAAAGAGAACGAATGGATGTATTAGATATTTAAAAAAATATTTTCTTGTAATAATAATATTAAAAATAATGATGATTGTTATGACGATGATAGTAATAATAATAATAATAATAATATAAAATATGCTTTATGAATAACATATACTTATTCCTAGACATGTATCATGTATATGAAATTCCTAATACTTAAAATTAACCAACATAAAATATTTACTACCTTATTCATACGCAGTTAAATATTGTATATATATATTTTTTTTTTAACATTTCATTAATTTAAGATTATATTTAAAATTTTTTTTGAAAATTCAAAAGCTTAAAAAAAAGATCATCATCTTTTTATATTAAGGTAAAACGATAACACGAATAGTACTTTTTTTTTTTTAATTAGCAGATTTTCTCGACCACAATTCATCTACTTCGAAATACATTTGAAATACAAAAGAATTGTTTTTAATAAATATTTAGGGTTATTTTGATAAATTGATAAAAATTCAATAAATCCGTACATTAAAAATTATTATTATGTAAAAATTAAAATGTAAGTAATAAATACAGATGTTGATATTTGATATTTATATTTATACACATAAACATAATATTTTTATAAAATTCTTCAGAAATATTTTTTTCGTTAAAAATATATAATATAAAAATAACATAATAGGTCATTGCTAGATATATTATTTATAAAAATAAAACTATTAAAAGCTGCTAATAAAGTTAAATTGAATACTGGACATTTATACATTACGCTGCAGTAAAATATTTAAATACTACTTCATATTTATGTGCATTTTTATTTAAAGTATATTATTGTGTTCTGATTAAAAGCATTAAAGTCTAGAAAATTGTAAATTATTCCCGTATGCAATAGATGTTGAATGTCGTCTATCAAATTTCAAAGGAGAACTTACCCTGATACTATCTACAAAACTATACAAAACTGCTGATAAAAACTTGCTTCTAATATAATATAAATAAAAATTCCAGGTAAAAATGAATTTTATAACGATACCATGTACATCTACAGACAATATTATTATTGTTGACAAAAATATAAAAGATGTATTGTAAAAACAATTGAAAAAAAAAAAATTATATATATATATATATAACGATCAATTACACAACTAACAATTTAATTGTAATAGTGCTACTATTATAACTGTTATCTCCAATTCTTCTATCTCTCTTTCAAAATTCTCGTAAAGGATTTATAAGACGAATAGTTGCTATACGATTAATTTAAATATCTTCTTACTTAATCATAGATAAATTTGAAAATAATTTTAAATCTTTAGTCATACAAAAAACATAATTTTTTTTTATTTCATCTCACAATATATCGAAAAAAATAATTCACATAGGAACATTGACTTAGTCAGCTCATAATTAATACAGTATATAATAATAGAGTACTCTATTCAAAAGATAGACACCCAAACAAAGGCCACGAGCCTTTAATCATTGTATGAGAATGAGTATCAAGGATTAATAAGAAATAAATACCGATCATAACTGCTTTTTATCAATCGACAATTCTTCAACGATAATTATGTAACAGTTACGAATGCTCATTGTGTTGGTGCATACAAGAAATTCAACTTGAAAGAAAAAAAAAACTTGTACTACACATTTTATGAAACTATAAGTTTATTCGATAATTCATCAGACGAATTAAAAATTGATAAATTAAACATTGCAGAAATGAGATAATAAAATATAGTTGCAGCTTTATCCATTTGAATACCTCAAATTTTCATTTATGCAAAAAAATACTATCGCATTATAATACTGAAAATTAACGAAATCGATAATACAATCAACAGTCAATGATCAATGATCAATAATCAATATAATCACATTATCAAAAATGATCAAATTGATGCAATTAATTTATCTTGAAATCTTTATATCTAAATGCCTCTCATTACAAAACACCTGCATATTATTAATGACTGTCTACTGCAATTAGGTAAGTAAATAATATATATGTAATATAATATTTTCTTCTATTCGTTATTGATCAAATATACATCTATGCACGAATATGTAAAATTAATTTTTTTTTTTTTTTTTTTTTTTTATATTTATATTTAATAATAGATCCAGATAACTAATATTATTGATTTAAATCATTTTTCATAATTATTAATGATTTTCAAATAGCCTATATAATATATATTTCAAAACTTTATTTTCATTTCATAGTGATATATTTTCTCCCCTTCGTTTCTAATGTGAATTTCTATATAAAGAAATTTTTAAATCCTTCTAACCAATAATTTTTTCTATTGCAATACTCCATATTTCTTATATCATTAAAAAAAAAAAAAAAAATAAAAAAAAAAAAAACGTAAAATAAATTATATTTGTAAAAGAAAATAATGCAATTTAGGATTTTATTATATTAATCAGTTATTAGAAAGTTTTGTTAATTTAGTTTTTTAAAATCTATACCTTATCATTAATAGTATTTCTATTTACAAAACCGGTAAAGTTATATTAACTTCATTGTAATAACATTAAGGGTTTTAGTGTTTATAATAATTGTAATTATAATTGTAATATTTAATAATATTTTTTTAATATTTTGATTCAATAATAAAATTATCTTATCTTATCATCAGCGTAAATATTAGAATAAAAATATTCTAATTATTTTTAGAAAAATAATTTTTTAGAGGCTTTCATATAGCTAAAAGAAAATCCTTAACTATAACTTTTTAATGTGTACGACACACAAATAAAATCAGACATTTCACTTTTCTCCAACTATATATATATATATATATATTTAATAATTATAAAAGTAAATAACTAATTTATTAATATTTCAAATTAATTCAAGAATAAGTAAATATTAATGTAAATTATTCAAAACGATTATGCACTGTTTCTTTTTTTACCTGATCAATATTTGCATTTATATACAAATAAAAATATTGTACACGCTTAAGGAATCAAAAGTTTAAAACAAAACATTAGGATTTATTAGGCCGTATAGATAAAAATAATAATAATAATAATAATAATAATAATAATAATTAGGAGATCAACAAGTTGATTAAATTACAATTTTAATGTTCTGGTTCATAATAATAAATGACATGTATTATAAAAATGTGCTTAATAAATGTAACATTTACTATTATTACATTGAAATCAGAAAACAATATATATAAAAAATAAAATATGAATTCAAACACGAATCAAATTTAATATTTTTTACGTTAATTTTGTACTTAAAAAATTGTATATTACTCCGTAAAATATTTTAATAATTATTTTTTCATAACTAAAAATTATTAAATAAATTAAAGACAAATTGTTTTTTTATAAACGCTACAATACAATTTTCTCACATAATTTATATATTCGTTTATACTTCTCATAAACTATATTTATTGTTATTTATAAAATATCAATATTTGACAATTTATAGACAAATTTATTGATCAGTAATACTTACAAGTAGTCGATTAGTCGACAGTCGATAGTGTAATTAATGTTTTAATCCAAACAATCTTGTTCGATAATATTTGAAAAACAGGAGATATATTTATTTACACACATAATAGCAGAAAATGATTCAATATCACCTTGAAAGCTTTAATATTCGTTTACTTTAAGCAAATATATATTTATCTGTATTTTATCTAATTATGTTTAACATGAATTCGAATTAAAAAATTTTTTTTGTAACTTTGTAACAAATGTTTCAATTATTATTTTAAAAGTAGATGAACGTACTAAATGTAAAAATTATTTTTAATTAATATCTTTCAACATTTTTGTTCTTTAAGTAAATTATAAATTAGATATTTAATATTCAAGATAATTGAATTAATTAATTAGTAAATAAGCGTAGAAATAACATTATTTTATATATTAAATATATATGTGAAAATATTTTATTATTTACGTGATGTAAATCTAAATGCAAAGAATCTCGACTTATATTCTACATAAAATAATTTACATTAAATATTTAATGCTAAATGGATTAAGGATTTTAAGAACTAATGCGTTTGTATTAAAATAATTAGTCAGGTGCATTTTCAACATAATGTATTTGCAGGCAATGATATAATTTTTAATTTTGTTATGTATAAACGCAAGTGATACATTATTAATAATCTTATGTGTAGCAACAGCCTTCTAAATAAACTAAATAAGCCTAGAACTCATTCCTTTTTTATTACTTGAATCAATGTATCAGTCTCTAACTGCTTTGTATTAGATTATTATTTATTATTATTAAGATTACAAAATCTATATCGGAGAAATTTTCTAATTTTAAGTTGTTTTTGTTTATTTTAAAGGAAATTATCTGTGTGATATCTTTAAAGTAAGTAATTAAATTGTTATACATTAAAATAACGGAGGAATATTCCATAAATGTTCGTCCATTTTTTTTTCTACTTGAAACGCATCAATTACATACTACATTATTCACTGCAGAAGCGTAAATAAAAAATAAAACAAAAGGAAGAAAAGACATTAATTCAACGAAAAACCATAAGATCAAAATGCTCTGTCGCGCAATCTTAAAAATATTTCGCTAATAGATTATAACATAATCATATCTTTTACCACCCCCCCCCTCTCTATCTATCTCTCTTTCATACACACACACACACACACACAAAATCTCTCACTCTCTCTTACTCTGTCTTCTCTCAATACATGATTTATTTATGAAAATGAACCTCTGTTTTTTTCGAAACCTATGTTTCTAGTCGCACGACAGTATAATAAATGTAGATATCACACAAGTACTAAAATTTCAAACACACTGTGAGGTGGTGACTTGCTAAATAAAAACAAAATAGTATCATCTCCATTATTGTGTTGTATGCAAATTAAAGAGCATGATAATTTGTTTATTCATAAAATTATACCTCACACATAATTTTCAATATGCCACCGTCATCCTTTCTTCAAATTCATTCTCCCTCTCTCTCTCTCTCTCTCTCCGTCTCAATCTTCCCCTCTCTCCCTCTCTCCGTCAGTATCTTATACATCCATCAATACACCTATCTTTCCCTCACTCTTCTCTCTATAGTTTTTTTTTACTTATTCAATTAAATTTTCGTCAATTCTCTGCTCATCTTAAAGATAAAAAGCTTCGACCAGTTGAAATATGTTTGCGCAAATGTGTTCTCCAACAATACTCAATGTTATTGATAATAAATAACGAAACTGATTCGTGTATGTATGTATGTTGACGTCTTCCGAAATCACATATGCACATCATGTGATCAATTGGTCGCGCCTTGTACGGGCAAATCCCATGAATTGGTCGTCCATGACTTCTTTTTTCTCTGGTACGGATCTCAGTAATTTTATTTTCTTTTTACTTGACGATTATATATACTTTCCATTCCATGTTAACTTTACATTTTTAACTGCTATTATTGTTATTGTAATCGTAATTATTGTTGATGTGAATGATCATTATGATGATAACGATAACAATAACAATGATGACGACGTTGATGTTGACGTTGAAGTTCACGTCGGCGTTGATGTTGAAATTGACGACGACGACGACGACGACGACGACGACGACGACGACGACGACGACGATGATAATGATAATGATAATGACAATGACAATGATAATGACAATGATAATGATAATGATAATGACAATGAAAATGACAATGATAATGATAATGGTGATATTGGCAATATTATTGATGATGTTGTTGTTGTTGTTGTTGTTGATAGTGGTTATGATCATGATGATGATTATGATGATGATGCTGATTATTAGTATTATTATTAGTATTATTATTATTATTGTTATTATTATTATTATTATTATTATAATGATGATTATGATGATGATGATGTTGTTGTTGTCTTTTATTATTATGATAATGATGATATAGCAGACTATGATAGTAGGAAGGTTGAAATGAATAATGATGATGACAATGATGATAATGACGATGCGATGATAATGTAGTAATAATGATAATAATGTAGTTAATGATGATTATTTAACATACGCTCACGAGTGTTGGTACTTTGTATATTGACGCGTGTCTTGTTCATATCGAATAATCGCGTAGACGTTGTTCATCGTCGATTACGCAACTTTGGCAGTCGCGTATCGATCGAAATTTATTTATTTTGTTTTTATTCTTTTATTCTCATCAGCAGAATTAGTATCCATTTAGCGTGTCGTTCGTCGATCGCTTTTTACCAACGGCATCGTTCAGGTCCCACCCTCGCGTAATGATTTCTGCTGCTCGAGGAGACGTTCGAGTGGCGAGGGCCCTGGACCTGACCACAAAGATTGCTGATTGAGGCGCGTCTTCATCTGATCCTGATGACTCAATGAAGATATGTTATTTGTAGCGGAAGACAGTTGACCATTAACGCCCCAGCTATTTCCACTGAATAACGAATATGTACTACCCGTTGACGTTGACTGTGGCTGCTTCTGTTCCATCTGATAATTTCCCAAACAATACCAAATTAGTCATTCATTAATAATAAAGACAAATATTTCAAAATTACGTAAAGCTTTTTTTATAACAAAAAATTTAAATTAGAATTATCTTTTATGAAATTCATATGAAAATAAGGTTGTATTAAGTTTATGATATATAAACTTTTTACATTGCTAATAATGAAGTCATGTGATAATCTTTAATTACGAAATAAACATATAAAGTTATCCACTATTTGAGATTAAGTTTTAAAAAGCACAGACTTAATATTAATGTTAAATATTATGCAATAATAATTAACAATAAAGTACGCAATCCAATGTGATAATGAACGATAAGCTATTTTTAGTCAAGCATAACTGCATAAAATGGGTAAATTTTGTAAATGAGAAGAATCGGTACAATACAAGAAACAGTGAAATATGGGGATAAAAAATCAAGTTACTTCAAATGGTCTAACGTCGTCGAAATTATTTCTGCCACTATATAAACGAGCCTGTAGCTGGTTCTGCTGATAATTGTTGCCGGCCGTAAGAGGCAAATTGTTAATGCGCTGATTGTTTGAAATAGTAGAGTTAGCCCAGTTTTGAAAGGCGTCGGTAACGGCCAGAATGGGATGCTCCTTGCTATGTCCTGGCTGTTGAATCATTTGTCCGGATGGCACATTATTACTGCCCCACCAAGTAACTGGTGGCTGAGGTGGCTGAGGCTCTTTCCACGGATTATAATCCTTAGTATCGTAACCGCGGAACATTGCATATCCGCCAACAGACTGCTGTTGCTGACTCTTCGTCAAATTCACTTGGTTAGGGAAAGTAATTTGCTGCTGCCCGTTGCCGTACGCCTTAGGCGAAATCTGCTTCTGTTGTTGCATCTGTGCAAAACCAGTTTGACCAAAACCAGTATTACCGAAGCCCTGCTGCTGCTGCTGTTGTTGCGATTGCTGCTGTTGTTGCTGCTGATGCTGTTGAATAGTAGGCACGCTAGTATTGGCTATTCCTGAATCCTGTAGACCAGTCTGATAAGCTGATGCCGCGCTTATACCCACGTGGCCCTGCAAATTCAGGCCATTGACCGGGCGATGCGTACTTGCCAAAAGATTTTGAGGATGGACGTTCAGCGAATTCGGTTGTATTGCTAATCCGATACTTTGACCTACCATTTGTAAGAAAATTTACAGCCAACGCTTATTATAGGCATTAAAACTAATTGCAGCAATAAAAAAATTAATAAACAAATAAAAATAAATGAAGACACATGAATATAGCAAACTAAATTTGTTTGTTGAGAGTTGAAATCGATTTTCGAAATATGCACAATAATACGTAAATAATTAATTATTATAATAACTTGTACAGTATTTTTTTATTTGTAATGTAATGATTAATTGTAAATATTCAAGTTCGAAGAGCTGTATAATTACTAGACACCGTGCATGATATTTCCATATTTTAGTTGCATTTCAAATTTCAATAAAATAAATTCAGGTAAAATTCAAGGATATTTTCAAGTTACATTTAAAGATATAGATTGTATCCACTTACAAATTAATAAATAACTCACGAAAATGATAAAATAAAAATTTTGCTTTCCTGCAACTGCAATTTTTACCTATCGGTTGTTGCGGTGTTGGTGGTGTCAGATTTAAACCTTGAGTTAACATAGAATTACTTTGCGCCAATGCAACAAAACTTCCTCTTTGTTGTTGTTGTTGTTGTTGTTGTTGTTGTTGTTGTTGTTGTTGCTGCTGCTGCTGCTGTTGCTGCTTCTGCTGTTGCTGTTGCTGTTGTTGAAGCACCCTACTTTGGTTGACACTAACATTAGTTGGATAGGACATACTTTGAGAAGCCTGAGACAGGCTGTTGCCAAATTGCCCCTGCATCGGAGCAGTGACTGTATATTGCTGCAGGGAAACCGAGGGATTTGCTATGAAATTTTTATTAAACTGAGGTGCCTGAACACTGAAACTTTGACTTTGATAGCAACCAGGTGCATTTAACGATATTGCAGCTTGTTGTGGTTGTGGTAGTGGTTGTGGCTGTGATAATGGTTGTGGTAGTGGTGGTGGTGGCGGTGGTGGCGGTTGTTGTTGCTGTTGCTGCTGTTGTGATGATTGTTGTTGCTGCTGCTGGTGATGCAGAGAAAACTGGCCGAGACCAGGTGGTGGCGTTCTTTGGAGCACTGGCGTCTGAATATCCGCAAGGGGTAACTGCTTAACACTCGGTGTAGAAAGAATAACATTTTCACGTTGCTGCTGCGATATGACATTACTCTGATGATGATTATCCAGCTAAAGAGACAGATAAAAGTCTTCGTCATGTTATCCATAATTAAAGTATAATTATTTCTATTATAATCCCCCATTGTTTTATAAAACTAAATATTATATTGTCATATTGATCGTAATTTTAATTCGTTATATTGAAACAAAATAAAAAATGCTATTAAAAATGTTCGTTTTAATATTTTTAATTAAAATTATTTTTATCAAATACAAAAATATCAATTAACAAAAAAAATTTTTTGTTTATATTGTTTACATATAAACAATTGTAAAAAAAAATGCACTTATATGTAAAGTTATTTTATTTTTTTTTTATAAAACTTTCATTAAATAATATAAATTTATTTTAAAAAATGCAAAAGAACCTTAATTTAGTCTTCTATATTCCATTATATGGAAATAATATATTAAAATATTGTCTAAGTATGATATTTACGTATGTCTAATCATATTTAAGTAAAGATATACAATCAATTAGTTTAAAATATTTCACTTTAAAAATTGTATAAACATATTTTAATCATTATTTTAATACATAAATCTTAGTAGACAAAATATCGAAAAAAAAAAGAAAAAAATTAAAATCAGATAATACGAAATTGCAAAGTAAATTAATGGAATTAAATGAACGTGTTATTGCATATTTAATTAACTATTTTTATAAAGGATAAGGATATATTTCTTTAATTCTTTATAAACATATTTGTATTTACGTTATCATTAAATAAATTAAAAGAAAGTTAAATTAAGTAACTAAAAATTAAAAACATGATGAGCGTAAAAAGCATCAAAATGTTAAAAAAAAAAGAAAAATAATAATAATAAAAAATAAAGAATAAAACATGTCAAATAAAATAAATGTATTTTTAATATTTTATTTGTATATCATATGCTTACAATTTCTATTGGTTGTTTAATAATTAATCAGATATAATCATAAATTGTTTTTGTTGCACCTCTTTTCTGCATAAATATTAATTATACAGAATTTTTATATATATAAATTAGTGTAAATTTATAAAGTAGAAAAATTAATAGGTACCTTAAGTGATTGCTCAAATTGCTGCTTCTGCAGATGGAGTTGTAATGACTGTTGTTGGGGTGGTGATGACGATGACTGTTGACGCTGTTGCTCTTGCTGTACTATCGAACTTAATTTGTTATATTTGTTGTTTAAAGGTGCATTTGGCATGAGAGACGGTCGAGGCTGAATCAGTGGCGTATTATTGATAGTATTGTGACTGGTTCCGTTGCTCGTAGTCGAGGAAACGACGATATTCTTAATATTATTAGTCTTAACAGGAGATGAACACGAGGTGACGATGGCTGTTGGGACAGCTTTACTTTTATCGGTTTCTTCAATGATAATGGGCGAAACGTTTTTGAAGGTCACTTGTTTTTGCTCAGTCTCAGCGCGACGCATTATTGCCTGCATCGCAACATTCTGGCGGGGTTTACGAGCTGACGACGGCAAGGAATTAATTTCGCTACCGATTACGAGATCGCTGGAATCGCGATTACGTTCCAAGGAGCCTTGAGGCTTTAATATACCTCCACGTTTTTCCACTGTCAAATGAAAATTTTATATTAATATCATTAAAAATAAACTTTATTTACTACAACATTTCTATCGTTCAACTCTTAATAAAGTAAAAGAATATCAATATGTTATGTCGATGCAGCATACTTTTATATGATTACGATTCTCTTCATATTAAACTAATTAAGAGTAGACGTAAAATTATAAATATAAATATAACCGAACTTTAAACAAAAATTATATATAAAAATACTTTACAAGAATTATAAAAAAATTAATTTTTACTATATTCAATACGAATACAGACATAACTAATCGTAACAAAGATATATTATGGGCAACGGATAACTTTTTTCTTCACATCATATATTTTTACTGTCGATTGTTTAAACATATTTAAACTAATCGATATTTCCTTATAAATTTTTATTCATAAACACAACACATCCGGCCTCGTGCTTGCGCGCGCGTACCCGCATACATGCACGTGGGCGCGCACACGCATATATTGTGAGGGGGGAATAGCCATACGCGATTACCCTGCTTTTTCCTTATATTATTGAAAAAATTTTTCAATTAATTTTTTTAATCGATTATGTAGTTAAATTTTTGTATATTATATTGCGTTATACGTGCATGCGTGTGCACCGCCCACACAACACAAAGCAATGTATAAATGTATTTTTCAATATATTGCAAAATAATAGGTTATACATTGATAATACTACAAGATTCAATTTTATAAATCATAATTTATCAATCATCACGAACAAGTTTTAAATTTAAATCTTACTATTTTTATTATGTCAAAATAATAATAATAATAATAATAATAATAATAATAATAATAATAATAATAATAATAATAATAATAATAATAGTATTTTTAATTATTTAATACATCTGCTGTGTTTTAAACAGACAATTTAAAATAGTTATATTGTAGAAAATATGAAGTTAAATTTTGATTATCGTTACTCGCTATATTAAAGTCAATATTGAAATTATTTTAAATTATGAATTGAAAATAATAGAATAATAAATCCTTAATTAACATACTTTATTATCATAAATCGATTAATAAATGGATTAAGTAAAAAATAATTCAAACTTGTAAATATAATTTTTTAACTAAAATTTTTAAATAAATTGTTAATAATATTAAAGTACACGATAAAAATAATAAAAAAAATTGTTGCGTTTATCAATTACTAAAAATATTTACATGAAATTTACATATTTATATGATCATCTATCGTTAAATAAATATATGAAACAAATATATAATATACATCATGTAAACATGATTGTAGGAGTTTTACTTACAACCAAATTCAACTATTAAACTATCTATTTCTGAAGACCCTCTGCTACTAGCTGATTCTGAAGGTACAGGACTATTTGCTACAATTGGTTGTTTGTCCTTATTTAAACTCAATTCTTCCAATTCTTTCATTAATTCGTTACTAAGCCCTGTTCCTTCGGTCGCTGATACAAATTTCTGTCCCTTATATTGATCTTCGATGCCCAAAGAAATCAATGTGGCACCATTCACTTGATGTTCTGATATTTTCCGACCCAGATGAAGTATACGTATAGCTCGTAGCTTATTCAATATTGCAATGTCACCTTCTAAGTCTGTATTAGTAAAACGAAGTGTTTCGAAAGTTTTTTCCAATGGTAAAAATCCCTGTAGATCTCGATCTTCTGGCAATGGTACTTTAGCATCTACAATAGAATACCATGATTTTTTTATAATATTTACAAAATACTTAATATTATTAAAGTACATACATTGATTGTAATCGAAATCAACAACACAATTTTGTAAGCCATTCAACAGAACGCAAAGACTTGGCCATATTTGAAGTCTTGAAGTAAACGCTGCTTCCTCCAAAATTATTGGTCTCAGCTGAATCCAATCAAGGCACAATTTAACTGGAGTATTTAAAAAAATGAACTATTAAATTATACGATCAAACATTAAAGATTAACTAATAAAATACATATATATATATATATATATAAGTTTATCTTACTAGTTGGTAAAGCAAAATAGTTGATTATTGCATTTTTTATTGTATAAACAGGTAGCAATAGAGCTGATAAACTCCCAGCAATCAGATCAAGAATACAATTTTGACACATTTTTTCATCTGCACTCAACTGATCGGTTCTCATTAATTCTGGACTTTCTGTAGATATTCCAGCCAAATGTTGTAAAGCATACAAATTGATTATAAGCATTTGTACTAATCTCCATGAAGTAAAACTTTCAGTTGCTATCAATGCAGTCAAAGTATCGGTTAAAAGTTTAACATATGTCGTTGCAATACTGAAAATAATATTTATAATGTCTATTTAAGCAAATAACAGATTATACATTTACTTATTAAAATAAATGTTAATGCGTAACAGCATGTGATCTTTCTTCACCACACAAGATAATACTTATCAAATCTTATCAACATAAAAAATAATAGACCAAAAAATAATTAGATTATTTTTTTACATACTACAGTTTTAAATAATTTAAATTTAAAAGAATGTTAGAAAATTTTCTAATGTCTAGAAATAATTATAATAACAATTTCATACAAATTTCATAATAAGACTGAAATATTTTGCGTATTCATAACAATAAAAGTTAATTCTCAAATATTTTAAACCAAAGAATTTAAAAAAAAAAAAAAAAAAAAAAAATTGACTTTCCAATCGACTTAAATGAATATTCAGCATAAATAGTTCAGCTTAAATAATATTCAGCATACAAAGAATCCTATGATCTTATACATTTCTACGATTAAGATTTTCCTTCTCAAATGTCACGATTAATATTATAAAGCAAAAGTTTCTCATCTCATAAGCATGCAAATGCATCATTCTCCTATTGTTCGATACTCTAAGGTACAATGTTATCAATAAAATTATCTCATCTTAATGTTCGGTAATATCTACAAATAATATACAGAACAAAAATTTAATATCCAAATACCTTAGATCTCCTAAATTATAAAGGACTCCATGAAGTTTTAAGAATACAGCTAGATATTCCTGAGAAGTTAATTTGGTCTTTCCTTCAATCTTATAATTGTTATCATTTAACGCAGATGACAAAGTTTTTGCTAGATTCGCTGAAGCTACAGGAAATGGATGTTTGACAGCCACTGAACGCACGTAATGAAAAACGGTACCAAGTTTGTCACCACGCGAAGCTTCTAAAAGAGCTAACTGATTGTAAGGCTGTCCACTGGATGGTGAGAGCGATACGGCATGTCGATAAAAGAGTTCGGCCTGTTTGTTTTGATTTCTATAACGAGCAATGTCTCCCAAATGAACGAGACAGTATTGACAAGCATAAAAGCACGATGACTTATGGGGCGCGGACAATTTTTCAACAGCTTTCCATGGTGAAATACATCCATACACATAGTTTTTTCTAAAAAGAAAATATATCATTATTAAAATTTTATATAGGGGGATATAATTTCAAAATATTAATAGCTTAATTATTAATCGATGCTACACTTCTAATGCATTATTATATCAAATAAATGTATAATAATATTAAGAAAACATTAAAGCTGTGTTAGCAAAGTGAAAGTATGTTGAAAAGTAAAAGATCTCGATGATTCATTAGTTATACAAAATTTCGTTCTAATGCTATAAGCAAGCTTTCATAACATTCGATTTTATTAATAAATACCTGTTCGATGTTAATAAATACCTTCTAAATGGTAGATCTAAATCAAAAGCAGTACATATCTCTTGTAGCAAAGTTAAATAAAATCCACTAGCTGCTTCCAAACACCAGCTAAGCATAGCCTGCGATTCTCCACGTTTGGGGTTTCTACGATCCTTTGCCTGCAACTGCAGCATAGCTATATAATTCTTAAAACCAAGGTTCCATAATTCCTGTTCCACTTTACGATCCAGGGCATATTCCAGGTCAAGGATAAGAACTTGCTGATAAATTTTCTGAAGTTGCCGTTGACACATCCACGCATCATTATCGTTTAAAAGATCTTTACAACGTTGAACCTTGTCTTTTAATGGTTCTGCTTTCCTAAATAATCATAATTATTTATAATCAACAACCTATTGGCAATTAACTTAAATTTATAATTTCTTTAATATGCGCTTGAACTCGATACATATGCTCGCTATATATAGTATTCAAATATAATTAAAAGTAACGCTAAAACTATAAATCGATGTTGACTAAAAATCATTTAATTTATACAAATGTGTGGAAAACAGTTTATAAATACAACTAATTATTAATTCATGAAATATTATGAAATTTTTCGATTAACAGTCTCAAAAAATATTGATATTTAAGTTTTTGAAGATATCAACAATCTTGGTCAAATTTAATAAGAATTTAAAATATAAAAAAAGTACCTAATAAAAAAATTAAAGCGTTACCGCCAATATTATACAACAATTTCTTAAATAAAACATTTTATTAACGCTAATAATTTTGATATAACTTACTTCAGAGCTTGCACAGCCGCTTTTAGGCCCATATTCTGCGTAGCCTTCACATGTACCACTTGTGACTGGTCTATAAAATATAAAAAATACTCATTATCGTTACTGCATCTCAGTCGAAATGGTAACATTGTAAAGAAGAATTTTTCTATAAACAAATACATTTGCCTTCATAAGGTAAAATTATAAATGTAAACCAAACCAACTATTAAAAATACGCAAAAAATTGAGATAATAAAGACCATATCATTTGATTGAATCATCCGAGTTCACCTATATAAAACATGAATTCGTTTGAAAGGAACGCGTGGCAGTAAATAAAATTTATATACCAATTATATAGAATTCTAAAAGTTATCAACAAATTATAATTCGCGTAAAAAATAGGCGTAGGTTAGAATCGGTGTTCCATTCTGTCGTCGATTCCCGTCATTAGGGAGCGTGCAATTTCGCACTTAAGCAATGGCAATACGAAGTCTTGCAAGAAGGATTCAATCACAGACCAGGTGATACAAGACCACTAGAATTCACAAAATGCCAAAAACAGAACTCACTGTCACATATTTGCGCCGAATGAGGAACTACAATATATGAATGATGGATTCCATTTTTTTCAGACCCACCATAAGCGCAATGTATCCTCTTTTCTGCAAATGTGTATGTCTGGGACTTGTGTGTATTCCTGCGCAGGAATCCAAAGAAACACTGCGCCGCTGTTGCGGCAAATGGTCGAACTTACGTTTAATACAATTAATAGTTTTTCAAAGAAAAACAACATGTAATACGGCATGAAACATTAATTATTACGATTAAGTACGCGACTAAGCAGTCATATTATCTATTAAGTATTAGAGAGACGTTGATTATTTATGGTATAGTAACAGCTGTTAAGTTACACCTATTAAACACTATTTAAGCATACAAGCCAATGCAGTCGGTATTGTCACATTTTATTGAAGGTTATGTTGATTTACTTTTTTTATCCCGTACCTTTAAACTTCGCTTTGTGATAAATCGTTAGGATTTCAATTGTAAAAATGTCATTTTCGAGGAAGATAATTATTGAAAAATACTTTCAGCAGTACTTTAAACGCGTAAGTTTTCATGCATTATCATTAATAGCGAATTAAACTAGTAAACATTTATCATTCATTTAAATTTGTTATTATTGACATTTATTTTGTTTTCATTATACATCCAGTTGTTAATAATTTTTAGTCATTTTTTCTGTTTTAACAAATTTATGAAGTTCATATATTTTCAAATATTATCACAGTACTGTTCGTCTCTGAAATCAACAAAAACCAAAACAGATGAATTGAAAGAGAGGCAGAAAGAAATGATGGCTAGAAGCCTTCCAAAGCAAATGCCAATTACAGGAGTGAAACAAATTTTAATTGTAGCATCTGGCAAAGGAGGAGTAGGAAAATCTACTACATCTGTAAATCTAGCTGTTGCATTAAAGCTTTTAGAACCTAAAAAATCTGTTGGATTATTAGACGCCGATGTTTTTGGGCCTTCTATTCCTTTAATGATGAATTTACACGAAACTCCTTTATTAAATAAAAATAATTTTATGGAGCCATTATTAAATTATGGAATTAAATGGTATTTATTTGAATATAATGGTAACAATAATAATTGTATTAATTTTGTAATATTTAATATTTCTAGTATGTCAATGGGATTCTTAATAGATGAAAAATCTCCGGTTGTGTGGAGAGGATTAATGGTAATGAGCGCCCTAAATAAACTAATGAGACAAGTATCTTGGGGATTACTAGATTATTTAATTATAGACACACCACCTGGAACCGGAGATACTCATTTATCTCTGATACAGAATCTCCCCATCTCTGGAGCATTACTGGTAACAACTCCACAAAAAGCGGCTGTAAATGTTACGAAAAGAGGAGCAGCTTTATATAGTAAAATAAATGTTCCACTTGCAGGAATTGTTTCTAATATGAGCAATATAGTATGTCCGAATTGTAAAAGTGAAATTCCACTTTTAAAAGATGAAATTTCTAATTTAGCTCAGGAATTTGGTAAAATATTTATATTACTTTAATTATTTTATTTAATGATATTTCTATGCTTGCTTTTATTGAATGATATTCCTTCAATTATTTATAGGCATACAAATTTTATGTAAAATTCCACTCGATGAAGATATTGCAGAAGGATGTGATAATGGAAAACCCATTGTTATTAATGATCCAAATTCAAACATTACAACAGCATATAAAACATTAGCAAAAGATGTATCTAAATTTTTAAGAAACCAACCTGTCAATACATGCTAATGATTCTATTATATAAAAATCTGAAAATATAGAGAAAAAAAATTAATTTATTAAAGGTAATTCATTTAATAAAAGCTTATTAATATAAATACAGAAATAATGGACACATGAACTATGTATATATATATATATATATATATATATATATATATATATATATATATGTTTTTATAAGGTTTCATGAATTACATTATCTCCCACTATTTAGTCACATGTTCATGAGTAATTCCAAAAAGTAGGGATTGTCTATGATAGAATATTTTTCTATAATTGAGTAGTAATTCTGAGAATATAATTTTGTACAGATAATTTAATAAAATATTTTATACTTAAGAGCTATTCTTGTAAGTTGTAATTTATGTACAAGTATGTATAAGTAAATTAATATTTTTCAAAAATAATTTACAAACATTTTCAACAAAAACATTGATTAAAAATAATGTACAAAAAAAAATTCAAAGTAAAAGAAATAATTTTATAAAATTATCATTGAAGATTATAAAATGGACAAATCCTTTACCAGCGTTCACTCGAGTCCAGATGCCGAAATACATGACATACCTATGAATATTTTAATTAGACCATTTCCATCATCTGTTGATAATGACAAAGTTGAAAGTCTGATAAATACTTTAAAAAATGCAGAAACAGAAAACTTGGTACCACCAGTTGATATTCTTTGGATTAAAGGTCGAAATGGTATGACAAACTAATATGACATAACCTCGATATTTTTAAAAGGTGTATCCAAAACATTTTCTTTTTAGGAGGTAATTATTATTATTCATTTGGTGGATGTCATCGATATGCTGCACACCAGAAATTAAAAAAATCAACAATTAAAGCAAAAATTATTGAATCAACTGTAACAGATTTAAAAAGTTACCTCGGAAACTCAATACCTGACTTAAAGTAATGCGAGTATTAATTTACAATTATTAAATTATATCTGTAACGTTGTTGTGCAAATTTTGTAAACGTTCGCTAAAATGTGAATTTTAATATTTTTACACATATAAAATAAAAATTAAAATACAAAAAATTATAACTTTGTATGTAAAAACTGACTTTGTCGATATATTACAATTTATATATATATATATATATATATATATATATATAAATTATACTTAATAGGATTTCCAAATAAAATGAAAAAATCTAATTCTCCTTGTAGTTTTATTCAAATTATCTATGTACATTATTTATTTAAAAATTTTAGAAATACTATAAATTCAAACTTTTCCATTCAAATCCACACTTGTGCAAAACTTATTATATAGTCATACAATTACACAGGTAATACATTAATATATGTTTTTGCAATTATTATATACTTTTTTTAATGCATACATATATTATATGTATAATTAAAAATTGTACCTTATTGCACAATACCTTGAGTTTAAAAATATTACGTACTATGTACCACATTTTTAAAGGTAAGCTTAATTGCTAGTTTTATAAGTATTTTTCTTGTTTCAAAATAAAATTTATTGAAACTCTCTTCTTGTCAATAAAATAAAGTCCTAAATTAATACAAAAATGTATTAATAATTAATTACACGTTTAAGTCAGTGTTTCAATATAACATGATGAACACTCGATTTAAGAACTGCTGTATTTTTAATGCAATTCAAGTATTCGTTACTATCTTGTTTATTACACTTATTTTACAAAAGATGTAACTTCTGTAATTATTTTTGTCACACGTATTTTTATTATTTAAAGTATGAAGTTATGTATATTGATTTTTTGACTGTCAAACTTGATTTACAAACTTCTATTATATAAACTTAATATAAAAGTAGACAAATATTATCTATGTTCATTAAGTAATAATTTACAAATTGCAGTATTTTAGATTCCTTAATATCGATAATTCTTTATGATTTAGCATACTTCCATACTTCATATAATATTCTTACTTTCAATGAGCATTATACTATTTTACACAGCCTTTTGTCTTTTATAAATATGGCGTTTATATTAAAATTCTATTACAATGTAAAACGTTTTATTTTATTCCGAAATATTTGTCGATTCTATGATTAAGTTAGTCTTTCTCTTTAAACCTTGTTTGATTTTTAAATTTTCTAATTTTCTTTTTTAACTTTGCTCAAGAAAGATTTGTACTTTGGATCGTCAAGATGGAAATAATTGTTAAATCTTTCTTTTGTTAAATAAGCTACATCGTTAGCATAATTTTTTTCTTCAGAAGCATACATAGTCTTGAAACTATCATTATGTAGCGAATTTGTGCCACTGTCTTTTAGAAAGTAAGGTTTATAATTTTTCGTAATATTCATTGTTCTGTCGGACATTACTGTACTACGATCCTTGGGTAAATTACTTTCAGACTGATGTTGATTTCTCAGATGCTTTGGTATTATAGCTTCCTCAAGATGAAGTAGTTGTGTATTGGTTACTTCACAATCAATTTGCATCATTGTCACATGATTTGGTGGAGTGGAATAATATGATCCTAAAAATTCATATTAATAGTGATTATTTTTATAAAGACATTTTTCATTTTTTTTTTTTTTTTTTTTTTTTTTTTTTAATTTTTTTATTTTTAACTATCACAAATACAGCATTTCCATCATACGTAATATGTCCTATAAAATGTTCAAAACAAGATTAACGAGTTGTTTTTTTTTTTTTTTTTTTTTTTTTTTAATCTTTTTCTCCAGAATGACAGGATACCTTTTTTAAAAATCTTTTTCTTAGAATCGCAGAATACCATTTCTTTTTTTAAATTAAAAAAATGTTCATTTCTTAGAATCACAAAATATATTGATAAAAGATATACTAATTGATGTATTATGGTTAATTGTTAAAATTTAATCATAAAATTTACCATTGACTGGGACAGCGGGTAGTATTAAGGACATTTTTGGTCTAGATGTACTATTTTTTCTTGAAGCTGGCAGTAGCAGATGTTCGCCTGTAAACCAAACTACATAAAAAGTATCATCCCTTCGGCCTAAAGCATCAAACAGCTTAGCGTGTTCCTGCAGCAATGGAGAGAATAATTGTACAGCATTGATATTGGTCGGCGACATGTCATTCACTTGACTACTCTTAATCTTTCTTCGGCGCGATACTCTTTTTAACGGCAACCTTAAGTTGCTTGAGCCTGACTTGTCCTTTACATTATAAGATCTAATATTCAACATCTCCTTGAGAGATTTAATATCGAGATCTGTTTTCCATGGCTTAGTCCAATTTTCGCGATCGGGTTCACCACCTATCCATCGTCTGAGCTCGAAATCTAATCTAATAGACTCCGTGAGATTTATGTGCATCGGACACATAGGATGATGGGTCGATAAAGTATCGTTAAACCGTTCTTTCGACTCTGTGCTGTCATCGTCTGAATTCGACCATAGTAAAGTTCTACTATGCCTTACATTTGTTACTGATATCGGGGGTATACGACTTTGTAAATCCTCTAGTGGTTGTCGTTTTTGATTGAATACACCTCTGAAATATAAAAAAAAAAAAAAAAGAAATAATATTTGTTACAAATGTATGGATTAACATGCTATATAAAATAAATATTTAATTTACATTCATTTAAATTTTGTAATAAATCACGAATATATTTAGGAAAAGATGCGATTCTTTATAAAATGCATGAAATTAAATAGTGCGATTATAGTTATTATATTTCTTATATAGAATAATAAGTCGTTTAAACAATTTTTCTTCGCCCATTAGTATTTTTTACTAGAAATAATGTTTATTAATTTCTTATACGTTAATTCTATTATCCATAAAACACATTTATCAAAGTATTGATAATATTTATATATAAGAAAACAATTTTAGTTTGTCATATTGAATGTCTTGCGAATATTGATAAATCAATTATTATAATTAAACTCACCCTAAGCTCCCGACATTAAGAGAGACCATGAAAATCATGGCTAATAATATTGCAGTGTTTTTTTTATTAATCCCATAATTTGAATTAGGAAATTTGCTTCCATTTATATCATTTACTTCGGACAATCGCTTACGCAATTCAGTATTTTCCTATAATTAATCATAAATTTTCAAGTCGTATATAATAATTGCATAAAAGTTTTAATAATAGGGTATACAAATATTACCGTTTGTAATCGACGATTATGATCCTGTAATTCAATGATTTGATTTTCTAAAGATGTAACGTATTCCTTTTTTTTCTTGCGCGATAAACACGCGGACTCTCTATTTTTAATCATTCGTTGCTGTCGTTTCAACGCTTTAATTTCACAATCTTGGCGATCATGAATATCAATAAATTCTGGAAATTCATTCTTTATAACAATCGGTGAACAATTATTACTTTCCTTTTTAATTACAATGGGTGGACATATAGGTACATCGTTCTTAATTACTATAGATGGGCAAGTTGAATTTTCTTTTTTAACTGCTAGAGGTACAGATGATTTAATATCGTTATTTATGTTGGCATTAGCTGGTACGGTAACAGTTGGGCTTGTCGAGTGAATTTGAATATTATGAATACCATTCATAATCTTGACTTGATTGTTTTGTTGATAAGTTGTGTTTGTATTTGCTTTAACTGGTTGAATGGGTAAAATGTTTAGTTGATTTTGAAGTTTAACGTTTCTACTCAGTGGTAATGCTTGAACTTTCAGCGGCTGAGCTGTGCTATTTTGCTTTACCCTTTGGGTAAGTGCGGCGAAATCTTGAGCACTTAAAACAATTGTTTTCCGTGGAGTTTCTATTCAAACAAAATATATGATTGTCTTTGTTAAGTTTACAACGAAACACAAATATAATAATATTATAATTATAATAATCCTTTAAACGACTTAATAACCAACCCTTTGTTAATGAATTTTCAAGTTTTGGTTGAATGCAAATACGCTTAGCTGGATTACTATTAGATAGTAAAAATTTTTGTGTTACATTATCTTTAATATTAAGAGAATTGAGTGGCATCAATTTTATTGGATGTAAGACAGATGGGTTATTTTGTGTTGATTGAGGTGATATCGGTGGCGATTCATTATGAGGTGGAGATATTGGAGGTGTTTCCAAAGCAAACTAGAATTTAAAAAATCAAGTAAAACAATAATATAATATTAAAACAATATATAACAATAATAAATATGCACTGCTAGCTTATACGAAATAATAATCTCCAGAATTTGTTTTTATATTATACTTAAAATCGACGACTTTAATTTAAAAATATGACCGATTGTTTTCAGTTACATAAAAAAACTGTTTTATTGAATAACTAATTTTGCAACCAATTTCATTGTCTGCTTTTATTTTATTCATATTTTATATTTATATTATTTATTGTTATGACTTACTCCTTAGATAAAAACATAATCTTTTGTAATTAATCATTGTTCAAATAAAGATGAAAATCAATTGTATATAAATAATACAAAAACCATATAATTTCAAAATAAATAACATAGTACATTATTTTTATTAAAATTAACTAAAATAAATTAAAAGAATTATATTAATAACGAAGAAATCGTTTAATTACAAACCTTGTCGTTTTGTATTATATTCAAGGCCTCGTTTTGCCACTCAGATCCACTGGATGATTCGGATTGACTGGGGCTAGGTGAAGGTGGAAGTTGTGTTTGTGGACTCTTTGGCTCTGTTTTTACATTTTTACCAACAACTGTCATCTCATCTACTAAAAAAATCTGGTATATAATTTTCTATACGCTTTACAATATGAAGAATTATATAAAAACAAAAAAAAAACAAAAAAAAAACGATAACTGACTTAACGAAAAATAATCTGCAAAATCGTCGTTCTTGTCCACCTGCATGAAACCAAGGTCAATGTCCTCGAGCGTCTGCATTGTCTGTGCTTCGAGAGCATTTTTCATGATCTCATCCGGACTTTCGTCGTAACCCGGAGAACTTTCACCATTTAACAGCAGTGGTATTTCCAAATCAGAGCTTAGAGCCTCTAAAAAATCATCGGCTGGTAAGACGCCTTCGTCTTCTGAAAACAGACACGCGTGTGTTGTAACGTTAGAAAATCGTTCTTCCTAATCAATAATATCAAGACTACCGAATAAGCTTTCAATATATTACCCAATGGAATATTCGTAATATACATAATAATTAACGTTTAGTAGAAAAATTAACTGTGACTCAATTAATTATTTAATTTTCGCTGTTTTTATCGTTGGAACCCAAGCGTTAAGGTTCACTCGTGGTGCTACCGCAACTATACCTCAAAAGTATATTAAAGTAACTGTATACAGTACATTCATTGTGAAAGAAGCTTAAAGTTTTTCCACCCCGACGATGTGATGTGTATCCTTTACAGCGTCAACTTACGGTCAAGTACGCGAAGCTCCATAATTTGGTCAATTTTATATTCCAAATTAATATTTCATTTAAGCATAATAATAAGTATTCATTTTAATATTCTATTGTCATCAGGCGCAGGATATTTTCCATCTTAATCGCAAGATTTAGATAATAAATTATTATCACCAATTTACGAAATTACTGTTAACATATAACAGAAAAGAAAAAAGAAAAGAAAAAAAAATAAATAAATAAATAACATGGTTTAAAATAATAACGTAATGTAATAATCATTATTAGTCCTATTCAACGTAATCCACAACGTAATCCGTAACCTAATGGTCGAATGAGATTATACAAAAAACTCGGACCTCCTTATCTAATATCTTAAATGTTGAATATCAATTTTCTTATGTAGATAATAATGTTTCTTAAACAGAGTAATTATTCAAATTCGTACAATAATTATTTCTTTTTATTACCAAGCCCATTCGAACATCAATAACGTAACTTTCTTTAAAACCATTAATTTATATTTTTTAGCCTAGCGAGAGCAATGCAATAGGCTACATATTATGGAAAAATAATACTACAATTACATTACGATCACTTGTTTTTGTTTTTTTTTAACATTTTTAATGAAGGATGAATTTTTCATTTATGGATTATGATTTATGGATGCATCATATATTGGCATATGATATGAGTCACACACACCAATATCATATATTGGCTGCATCGTGTTTTTTTTTTTAAGCATCGCTTCAATCATCCACCAACACGTAATCAAATACGAGCGACCATCTCATCAATATGCTCACAGCAATACGCCATTGTACAGCATCACCCAAAGATGAAAATTTCTTCTCACGAAATGAGAGACTCTCTCTCTCTCTCTCTCTCTCTCTCTCTCTCTCCGCTCTCCACTCTCTTTTGGGTCATTCCAACGCCTACACTGACAACACGCCGCAACGCCTCACGTGAATGTACGGCGCAGCGAACCTGTGAACGGAGCGACTCGAGACGAATGATTTCATGTCAATGAACCCGATGAAGCCGGCCGGCATGGCTCTTCTCCTTGGCTCTCTTGCCGAACGGACAGTATTTTATCAAATGCCACTTAGTCGACATTTCGGCGAACCTCGCTAACTTTGTTACGAACAAAGATTCTTAACTGTCATTTAAGTACACGTCGTTTCGAAGCCGAGAAAGAAGGACAGAGTAACATTGCTGTCTGCGTTATAAAGCGCTAATGAAATTGCGACGCAGTCAGCGATTTCTGTTTTTGCGAGACAAGTACAACGGAGAGTCATCGGTGTTGATTCACGAGTCCGAGAGGCGATTTTTCTGCAATATTAGTTTCTCTGGTTGAAGTCGTAGCTCTTTGGATTTTCTCCATGGCTTCTCTATCGGTAAATGCTTAATTCTCCCATTAAATTCATCCACGCGATCGGTATGACAATATTTATATTTCAATTGAAAATCGTAAAATTATAATTATAAAATGATCGATTAATAAATTAATACTTTAATAGGTAATCAATGCGGCATTAAAAATACTTATTAAAAACGGAGTTTCATAAATTACGAAAATATACATACTACATATGTATATATGTATGTATATATATATATATATATATATATATATATTCTAAATACATTTTATTTATAAATTGAAGGAATGAAGTGCGAAAGATATTTTTATTCAAATTACTCAAACGAACCGAATCCTTTTCTTAAAAAAAAAAATAATAAATAAATACAAGCTTGCAAAGTATGTAGCCATAAGGGATTCTTAGAATTTATTATGCTTCTATTTAAATAATGTTTGACCTATCTTCTTTGGGGTCGCTATGCTGGAAACCAAAGAAAAGGTAATAAAATATTCTCTCTATTATCTAATTCACAAAAAAGTATATAATTTTTTTTTTTCTTTCCCCCCCCCCCCCCCCCCCCCCCAATAATTTATGATATTCCAATATTCCAATAGATTGAAATAATAAACAATAGATTCCAAACATGAACATCCGAGAATTCTTAATATAAATAGAATTAAATTGAAATGTATCGGAGTAAAGCTAACTTATAATTTTATTATGTAAATAATAAATGCACGAACGATAATTGTACTTCTTTCGGTAGTGTCCGATAGTGATTTGTAATATATTTGAAGTAAGGATCGATAATAATAATAATAAAAAACCTTATTTAGCAAAATTTAGCGTTTTTGGTCTGTAAATAATTTTTAATTTCTAATTTTTACAAAAGATAAAAGAACGAGGACGTGTGCTTGCAGCGATATAAAAACGTAACAATAATACGTGGACTTGGGAGGTTTTCAAAAGCATTAGTTCCAGAACCGATTACCTTATCAGTTTATAACGCATGACGATAGTCGGTCTTTTCGATATGTATATACGCCTTCCACTAAATCCCAAGGGCAAGCACATAACTGATAATGTTGCTAACGCGCTTAAACTGCAAATGGTTATTCTTGGTCTCTTTTTTTTTTTTTTTGTTTCTTTTTCTTTTTTACATCCTTATCTATTTTGCATATAATAATTGTTAGTTTATGGCATGAAAAGATCGTTATAACGAAACCTCCTATCATTTTCCGAAATACTTTTCAATGTGCACAAAAAATTAATTCCATTAAAAGCAGCATGTCAATTTTTTTTTTTTTTTTGTTGTTGAAATATTTACAAAATTAACTGCTTTTACAAGTAATAGAATAATTACAATTATTAATTGTATATAAATAAAAACTAGTTTTGCTTAATCTATCTATTAATGTATAAAGTTTCCCATTAAGTACTTGTACGTGTGTACGATATTATTATCTATTAGGTAACTATGATAAGGCATTACATATGATTGAGATAATCATTGAGCATTTCGAAATTATTATAACTGTCATTCTTAATTTATCTCATACCTTACGTCTTTCACGTATGCATACATAATGTGCATATACGTTTTTATGTAAGTTTAAATAGACATAACAATAATTGAATAGGAAAAATTTATGCATTAAAACTTGTGCAACGTTAAATTTCGAATATTTGTTCAGTTTTGTGTACATAAAGTATTTAAGCTTTGCACTATCAGAAATACACTTCCGAGCATACGAATTTAGTAATGCTTATTTTATTACTCTTTAAATAAGCTCAAAAAATGTTAATATAATATATGTGATATATTAAATCGGTATGACCAAAGTGTTTCATCAAATGCTTTGAATTTAAATTTTCAATTTCAAGCTTCTTTAATCTATACTTGACAATTATATTACAATTGTAGTTTTATATTTTTACCATTATTTTAAAAAATAAATACATAATTCATAAAATTATTTATGAAAATAAACTTCTTGAAAGCTCTTCTTAATTTATTGTGTCGCACATATTAAAAAAAAAAAAAAAAAAAAAATTATTATACATAGGTGATGATAAATGATAATGCGTTTTTTTTTACATAAAAATACAATGTATTTAAAGTAATACGACATTTATGGCGTATAAGTACAAATATTTGTATTAAATATATAAATCATTATACATTATTTAATTAATTATTTGTTTTCTTATCGTAAATCCAGGATCATTGTAAAACTGTCGTATTAATGAAGTGACAAGCTTCATTCATTGTCACAGCGAATGACCACATAAAATCAGTCAAATGCCTTTCTTGAAAAAACAAGCATTACGGATGCCTATTATGAACGTTGCATTTCCAAAAACCTTTTTGGTTGATAATGCTTCGATAGGCGTTGCCTCTTCGTCCTTCCGTAGCGCACAGACCGGATATTCACTTCACTGTATACATTACACCTACAGATGAATACTGGAAAATGTTTTCAATATTTTTTAAAATAGATATTCTCCTGCTATTTATTATTTAATAAAGTAAGTCCATTTTTACTCATGCGCTTTATAACATTCGAACGCTCGTCAAAATTATATTTAATTCATTGTAATGCATAAACAATTTAAATGAAAATTTAATTTATGTACGTGTTAATTAAACTAACGATGAATCTTAACATAAAATAACTCTCTCTCTCTCTCTCTCTCTCTCTCTCTATATATATATATATATATATATATATATATATATATATATATATATATAAATTTTTTTTTTTAAGAATTTGATTAGTTGTATACGTTTTTAAAAATTTTTATTTACAAACTTATAGTATGATCGATGATTTACATAATAGCAATAGAGAAAATGGTAAGGTCGGATTTAAAAATTACATATTGTGAACATATGAATATATAAAAAAATAACCTAATCATCTCCAAACAAAGTTACACAATCAGATAAATCATGAAATAATAATATTATTGTTATTTTAACGTACATATAAATCAAAACTGAGAATACATGAAATGAAAGTAACCACGCAAAAAGTTATTTCACATAATAAAAACAGAAAATATTACAAATGCGTATAATAATGTTAAAAATCTTAAAACATAATCTTTTATATTACACGTATAATTAGATCTAGTTAATTTTAATTATAATTCGCTAAATGTAAAGTTTCATTATAGATTAAAATATCAAAGATTTTGAAGATAAAGCATGATCATTTTTTAATTAAATCAAAGAAATTTTTAAATGTCTTATTGTAAGATGAAGAAAAATTTCATGTTTTGCGCGACAGTTTAAAATTTA